CCCCCCCCCCTTGGAGGCTGCCTAAGTTTAAAACCCGGCGTGGGCTGCATGAATATTTTGGCTGGATGTCGCTGCTCGGTTCTGCTTCAGAGCTGTTTTCTCAATGGGACTACTGCACAGGTTGTACTAATGTCGCTCTTGCCGGCATGGCTGCGATGCAGAGGAGGGTCGTGGTCGTGGTCGTGGTCGTGGTCGTGGTCGTGGTCGTGGTTGTGGGGGGCGAGATGACGACTTCGCAGAGGCTGCTGTGCAATGCGTGGGTATTTTATTTGGGGGGGGGGGGGGGGTCGATTAGATTTTATTTTTTCGTTTCCTCCCCCCTCTCGATTCAAGGCTGGCGTGCGGCGCCGGGCACTCCCCGGCGCCCCGCGTTTCAGAGCTCGGAGGGCTGTCGCTGCGTAGTTCAGAAAGTGGGAAATGGTGACGCAGTGATCATTGTCGCCCAGTTTTCAAAAGCATCGGGGGTGGGGGGGAGGGACAGGTATGCGGTGCCTGTGGGAGGCTTGCAGACCAGCTGAGAGGGGTTAAGGATGAGCTGAGAAGGGAAGGTAGCGTGGAGGGATTAAATGTCATCATTTTGGCGTTGGGAAGTTGTTTACCTTGCTCTCTCCGTGTCTCCATGTTGGCAGCCTTCCAGCTCACATGTGATAGTCTTCCCTGTACTGCTGCATCATTAACTAAGTGGCTGAGCTTGCACACCATTGGCTGGGGTGGGCTCTGAGTCTAAACACTTGCTCCTATTGGAGGAGAGGGTGATGGCAGGTGAAAACCTCTCTAGGATTGGCCGAGGGCAGGGTGTCAAATCTAAATGTCGATTTCACTCGCTTCAAAGTGCTGGGAACTGCTCTGTGACTACGAGCTCAGCTGGGTTTTCGTTCTGTTTCTCTCCAAGCCAGGCATTTGAAAAGCTCTCTGCCTTTGGCAGTACGTCACTTTGCTGAAAGCAAAAGAGAAACGCAGCAAATTCCCTGGCACGGCCTGCGCAGGTCGTTGTGGGTGCAGATAAATCACCCGGCGTTTGAATGGCATCGGTGACAGGTGAGTTTCCTTCTGTGGCAAAACCAGCTGCAAGGATGCGTCAGCGTTGCAGCCCGCAGGGAAGGGGAAAGTCGCGTATTTGTGAGTGTCTCTTCCTTATAAGGGTATACGGTCTCATTGCTGAGCACCGGTACCCTTGCGGGAGAGAGGATTTGCTAGCCTGCTCAAGTGTCCCGGGCGGAGGCCGCGCCTGCGACTTGCGATGTATAAATACAGAGTGGGAATAGGAGGGCGACTGCGGCCTCGACTCCGCTGTAGACTACGCCAGAATAAAACCGCAGGGAAGCGAGCGAGGGCTGAATACGGCCTTCGGCGACGATTTACTTAAAAAATAAGTACAGTTAGAGAGCGCGGTTGGAGGGAGCAGTGCAGCACATGGGGCTGGGGAGGGAGCAGGGAGACCGAGGAGGACAAACAGCCCGGATCCAGCAAGGCCTGGAGATGGAGGATGAGCATGAGTCCAGACCACACAGGAGGCCATTTTTTTTACCCGTTGCTGACGCTGTTTCCCTGCCCTCCTTCTTCCCAGAGTGCTCCGCGGGGAGAGGTTGGGTCCGCCCAGGTGTTTGGCAGATGCTGCTCAGCTCCCCGGCTCGAGAAGTCCCCGGATTCTGCAGTGGCTCGCGCTCTCGCGCAGCAAGGAGCTTTCTGCCCCGAGCCTCCAGTCACGTAGAGGCTCCAGCGAGTTCAAGGATAAGGGGGCGGACGCCGTTCAGGTATTACTCATTTGCCGGGAGCTCGAGAGTCAAGTACGCTCATTTAGCAACAACTGTCCTGGTTATAACCAGAGCGAACGTGGCACGCTCTCGGCCTGGATCGCTTTTGATGCCCGTTTGTCTCTGAAAGGCGTATCCCGTATTCCCGCAGGCACCCACTGCCAGACCCGATTTCATCAGGCCGGGTAGGGCTGCTCGAAGCCCTGGGGCAGGAAAGCAGAAGGGAGGAAGCTATTTCCAAAAGGGAGAGCCAAGGGTGGTATCTCCAGCGGGGTAAAAAGCGCCTCCTTTTCCCTCCTTCCATCCTCACGCCGTTCCCTGCCTCCTGCGCCTGCCGAGCTCCACGGCGCATCGAGCATCCCCCTTGGAGGTGTCACCGACCCTCCTGCGTCACTCGGCCCTCGCCCGTGGAGCTGACTCCCGCTGAGCTTCCGCGCTTCCTGCTGTGCTAGATCCGCAGAGAAGGAGGACCAGCAGCCGCATCGGCAGTCCCTGCAGCGAGGCCGATGGGCGTACACGCACGTCTGCCGGCAGTGCTGCGTAACTGCGCTTACACGCTGATAAGCCAACAGCTGAGAGACCCATGCGCGGGCAGCAGCCGGACCGAGAGCCGACGCTCAGTTGCTCGGGAGCGCGGTGAGTTGCATCTCTTCTGTTGAATGCGGTCCGTCCAGGTGCCCCTCGCGTTCGCCACCTCTCGCCGGTGGGGAGGGAGGGCTCTGTTCACTTGCCACGTGTCCGGGGCTTCCTGCGGCGGAGGGGATTCGTGGAAGAAGATGGGGCTGGCAAGCCATCAGTGCAGAAAAGAGCAGGTGTCCATTCAAAGCACCCCGAGCAGACACAGGTCGGCACGCTCCCGTTGGGTTCCTTGTCGCCTGCCGGCCCTGGAGGGGTTTGCGTCAGTGACCGAGTTCTTTTTTTGGCTGATTTTAACCTCGAATGGTAGCTACGTTCTTCAGCCCTCCCCGGGTGGGAATTCAGTTCTTTGTGAGAAAGAAATCCCAGGGACTTGCAGGATGGCGTGCTAGAGACGTGGTGCTTTGCTGCAGGGGCGATGGGGGAAACGGACTTGTTGGGTTCCTGTGTGAGCAGGAGCTCGTATTAGTGTGCCAGGGGCACAAGCATCTGATTCACGTGGCCCGGTGGTTAAGATGCTGAACACGAGCTGAGAGGTCTGGGTTTGATTCCTTGCTCTGCTGCTTACTTGCTTGTGAAGCCTTGGTTACTTGGCTTTGTCTTTTGATGGTTCAGCTTCCTCCTCTGTAAAGAGGGTCTTCTCGTACATAGCTGCCTTAGCGCGGCACTAGGAGGCTTATTCATCGCTGGGTTGAGTACTTGAGGCACAACCCACGCAGATTTCCTGAGGTGATTTAACTGTGCAAGGACCATGCATGTGGGGAAAAGCAAGTTCAGTCTTTGCACCAGCCGGTGGTACGTGCTTGAGAGCATTACCTTGGTTTTATTCCTTTGCACCGGAGTGGGGCTGTCTGAGCAGAGGCAGCCATGATCTCTCGCTGCGCTCGCTCTGCCAACATCAGCCGTGTTACATCTGTGACGCAGTCCGTTTTGTTGGAGGCTGTTGCCTGGGCTTTGTGGAGCGGGATGGCGAGGGCAGGGGCTGGAGTGAGATGCGCACTCGACGTCGGGGCTGAAGTTTGCATCTGTAAGCGAAGCAGCAGGGGTATCGGCACCTGTCCGGTTCACCGACCGAGAGCAGAGCAGGGATTCAGACGAACGCGACAGCACCCCTAGCCATTTTGTTGCTTGCCGAGGAGAGTCTGAGCCTGCAGCACTGCTGCTGCTGTTCATTTCCACGTCATATAAATACAGTGCTCTGTGGCAGGAGTGTCGCTGATGCTGTGAGGAGGTTACAGGCTTTGAGCAAATGCTTCTCTTTTCTCATTTGGGAAAATCCATTATTATGGTCAACTCCTCGACAGTTTGTTCCCTCTTCCCTCCCCACCAGAAATGGCCTCAAAGCCCATCCAGGGAAGCCAACCCCTGCCCTGCAATTGTTTTAACCTTGCGCGAGATGTTTTTGTGTCTGGGTGTGGTTGGGGATTGCCAGTCTTCGGTCCCCGTGATGGGGACGCATGCTGCAGCAGCTCAGCATCTGCTCCAGCAGATGCCTGTGGATGGAGACGCACGCAAAATGCATCTCATCACAGCATTCGTGGACAAAATGGCCGTCGCGCATTGCCGAGACGCCCTTGTTGCGTGTTCAAGGGTGCCTGTTCTCCCCCCGCCCATTTTGCGGGATGGGATAATTGTGTTGCCTCGTGAGAGATTTTTCCTGGCATTAAGGTTGGATTTATGCGATGCATGCAGAGGGCTTGCACCTTGGACTGGCTCTGCCTGTCTGTGGCAGGGAGGGATCCTTCTTAGCGGGCACAATGTCAGGCTGCCTCCTGCAAGGTCATTCGCCCGCCTCGCCATTACCCGGCATCATGTTCTCGAACTCTCGGTCCCGGTTTCCCCAGCATGGCCGGCGTTTGGGCCCCGAGCTGAGTGGTGCGGACGCCTTCGCCTTTTGCAATGGGCCAACTCCAGCTTTGGGGTCTCGATGCCGATCAAATCTCTCGTTTCCAAAAATCCAGACCTGAGTTTCTGGGCACGAGCTGCTTTCGGGAGCAGGAAGCCACCCATTTTTTGGACTGTTCTCAGAGGCAGGCATGGAAGTGTTGGAGTGAGGGGGAAGGAGAAGGGAACCAAATCCATCTCTGTGTTGGGTGACCCTTGTCTGTTCCTAGTGCCAGTCCTCCCTGCTCGGCCGCCGCCTTATCCCCTGAGTTGTGCTGCCAGATGGGGGTGAGTGCTGAATCTGCTCCGAGCTTTTCTTTGCCTGTCTCTCGCCTGTTTTCAAGGAGCTCTGGTCCTTGTCAATCTAATGTGCACTCTCATTTTCACATAATTTTTCCAGGGAAAGGAACCTGCCTGCTAATCCTGATGGCAGTGCTGACTCTTCACCCGCGGGGAGGCATATGTGGTAGCTTGTCTGCTAAAAACCAAGCCAACGCAGCATGAATCAGACCATAAGTTTTCCATAGAGGAGACACTGTTTCCTAGTTAAACCCAGACCTTCTTTCCCATGCAGCACAAGTGGGGCACACGGTCCTCCCTGGCTGTGTATGGGCTGATGAACCGTGTTTACTCCAGAGCTGCAATCGAGCCAGGGGCACGTGACGGCATTTGGAGAGGGAGAGAGCGTGGCATCCCAGGCTCAGACAAAACACGCAGAAGTCCAGGTATCCTGATGGACCGCCTTCTTGCAGCCTGTCCATTTGTACAGCTTTAGGTCTAGCTCCCACATGGCCATGATGGTTTGAGTGAAGGACAAGAAGATGCTGTGGTCCCAGGACTACTTAGTGACCACACGGCCCAGTGTCCGGGACACATGAGTTAGTCCCTTCAGACAACACTGTCAGGTGAAAGAGCTGGTGAAAAAGCAGAAGGGAAAACCTTTGAAGATGTATTAAAACACAGACAGCTCATTGTCCTGCGGCATGCGTCAAGGGCAGCTTATGTTACAGGAAGCCTCTTGCGGGCATTACAGTGTCTGCCTTCTAGAGCCCTTCTGTGTCAAGTCACTCGCTGGGAACAGCCCATCATCCCTTTAAGGACACGGGGGGGGTCTAGACTTCCCTTGGGCACCGTCTAGAGAATAGCAGCGGGGGCAGCGGGAATTTTTTGGGTCCTGCAGTGGCAGAAAGAGTCGTGTTAGAACAGCTTGCCAGCCCGGCATTCAGCGCCTCGTTGTAGGAGGGCACGTTTTCAAAAAAGCTTGCAAATGCAAAAGGCTTGTTAGGCTTCGTTCAGTTCGGCAGAGGGCGGTTCGTTACAGTCTGTTCCCCAGCGTGTTGTCCAGACTAGTTTTATATGGCTGAAGTATGATGAGTCTTTTATCACCTTTCTTGGGAAGCTCTTTCACAGTCTACTAGAGCCAAATGGTGAGCGCTTCTCCTTAACAGCCAAAATGTCCCTTGGCTTAATTTCATCTCATCCCTGGTAGTTACAGCACCTTGCGTTGCCTTAAAGAAACCCTCTTTTCCTGCTCTCTGTGCCATTCGGAGGACTTGCTTTTCCACCTCAGGGCTCTCAAGTGTAGCACTAAAGTGTAGGGCAAACTGCGTAGCAGCACGATCGTCCTGATGAGTCACGGCAAGATCAGAAAATGGCGCCCCAATAATTAGCACTTCTCATAAGGCTGTTGTGTTAGCGCTGCTTCCTCAAGTTCTGCCTGGCTTTGGGGCAGGCAGTTCAGAGTCAAAAAGGTGGGGTGATTTTTGCACTGAGTATAATTTACCACACCTAGAGCGGTGGAGTACGCTCAAATTGGCTCGGGTTGCAGAGGTATCATGTATTCTTGCAGGGCCGGTAGGAAGGGTTGTGATGAGCTATACGACCGGTCGTTATTTCATTACCTTGTCCGGTCCAATAATAAGCATAATGGCGCATGTTAATGCCTGTTGTGTATCCTGTGTGTGAGGGCTGGCAGAGCCGTAGGAGGCTGCAGGAGGATGAGCCGCAGGGGTCTGCGGCACGAGCACTTCTTCCAGATTGCCGCAGAAGCCGGGAGGAGCAGGGGCAAGTAGATCTACAACTGCACGGCTTCTCCAACCTACCCCCATGGCATTCCTAAACTACCCCTGCGATAGCCATGTCAACCTCACTGCCAGTCTGCGGTCTGGGAGGGCATAACTCTGCCTGATGCTAAGACCTACGTTCCCAGCCTGGCAGAGGGGTTTTTTTTGGTAAGAGGAGAGGGCTCTGCAAGCTCGATGCTCCGTGAAACTGCGCCTGAATGCGGCACGGATCATTCCCAAGCTGCTTTCCTGCTTAGAACGGACTTTGTTTAGCAACCACCGATGAGAACAGGAATCACTGGCCATAATATTAAATCACTGGGTGCAGCAAGAGTTAATCCCGTAGCAGGTTTCCATGTGGCAATAGTGTGGAAGGCAAATCGCCATAAAGGGTGACTCGTACATTTGTTCAGCAGCTGGTTTTCAAATACCTCCGCCATTTCAAAATAGCCGCTTGGCCCCGCATCCCCAAAAGAATACCTGGCGTGATTCACTTGCATAGGAACTGATTCTCCCCAGAGTTTAAAGTACTATTTAAAACCCTGGCCTCTTTTTTTCCCCCGGTGCAGTGCGCAGTCAGGCCAAACCCTTGTTTGCTACTCAGTTTAAAAAATATGCAGCTTGTTGATCCTTCTGCTCTGTTAAATGTTTCCAAGGTAAATATGTGTGGGTGTGCTGGCATCTTGGAGACTAACTTTGCATTCTAATAGGAGCTAAAATTGATGGCTGATTTGGAAAAGGAAAGCTGGTTGTCCAGTCGTCGAGTTGGGATGAAACAGGACAAACCTGTTGGAGAGGAGGCCCCACGACCAGTGTTCTGGCTATCTTTTTACTTCTGTGCGTAATGCTTGGAGGACCAGAGCCTGTTGTTTCATGGCATCAGGTGCAAGACACGGGCTCAAAGCCGTCTCTCGGCTGTGTTCTTTGAGGCTGGTGTGCTGGAGTTTTTGTTCGGTACCTAAGGAAGCAAAATTCCTGTTGGAATCCCTCTTGGTGCCAGATGGGAAGACGGCATCGTCACAGCCTGGCCCTGTCCCGGGGCGAAGCGGTGCTGGAGTCTCTGGAGCAGGGTCACTTCTTTTAAATTCTGTGCAACAGATATCGTGTTGGCTCATGTGTCTCTCACTCCTGGGCCTAGCCTAGCTGGAGAAGGCTGTTCGCGCGGAGGGATGGCCTGGGTTAGCATCGGGGCAGAGGAGAAGGCTGCCTGTCTGGATGCACAAGCCTCTCCCTGACCAGCACTCGGGGAGAGAGCATCGTGTCAAGTGGCTGCAATGAGCCACGTGCCTCAGGTTGCAGAGCTTGTTCCACGCTTCATAAGTTCACCCCGCTCCGTTCCCTGTAGAGTTCCCCACTTGTAACGCCACGTCTTTAGGGCCTGCCCCTGGCCCTACCACAAACCTTGGGTGTCATTCACAGGTCTTCTGTGGGCAGCTTCCCAACCTACCATATTTCCTCACATCAGGGCTGGGAAAATTAGGCTTTGATCCTCGATTCATTCTGCACCTGCACATGGAACGGGGCAAAGGGGAAAGGCTTGATGGGGCCTGTGTCTCCTCTGGTGCATGTCCCAGCAGCTTCAGGGCCGCGTTAGCATCAGCCCTGGCAAAAAGAGACTGGCTAAAACATGTGGTTTTCACCAGCCTCCCACCAGCAGCCTTTACAGAGCCAGTCTAGAGCACTTACCAAAGTGAGGAATTCCCCCTAAGCTGGGGGAGATTCACAGGGGGCAGTCCCTGCCCACCCTCAGGCCCCCTTACACTGTCCGAGTAACGTGGAGCAGCTGTGAGGATATGAAGCACTTGGAGGCAAAGCAATTGCTGATACTAGAGATAGCGGAAAATCCCAACAAGCCTTGTGGAAATTCCACAGCTCTCCCGTTTTCCATTGGAAACTGGTCACAAAAATGTCCCAGGTGATCCCACCAGGTGGTGTTCATTTTCCAGAGAGGGGTGTACGTGTGTGTGCATCTGGGCCTGCATTGTAACATCTAGGTCTGCGTTTCCACTGTACTGGGTGATGGGGCGCACGCGCACACAACTTTTAGGGTGAGTTCTACCTGTGTCGTTTTTTGCTTCCTGTTGTGGCATCATGAACTGGTCTAATTTTTTTAACTTGTTGTCAAAATTTCCCCCTCTCAGGATTACCTGCCTGCCCAAGCAAGCCGTAGGCTTTGAAGGAATTGCCACTGCTACCGATGCATCTCTCGGGAAGGTGAAGCTAGCAGTTGCCAGCCGCGGCGGAAAGCTACTGGTGGGAAGGGAGGCTTGGCAAGGCACAGGAATACTTATCTGCCTCTGACTGTGAGTAGCATCTATGTTTTAATTCTACTTGAAGCTGCAGACTGCAAATTCTTACCGACACAGCACAGAATAAGTGATTGCATAGATTCATTTGCAAATCTAAAAACAAATGCGCCATTTTAATTTTCTGCTGCCTCATTATATTTTTGTAAATGTTAGTCCACTTCGACGTGTCTGCAACCTTCCCCCCTCCTCTCCCCTTTTCTTCTATAACTATGAGGCTGAGTACAGGCTTGATTAGTACATTAACCAACTGAAGTCGCTGTTTTATGAAGTCATTTTGGCTCTGTTCCTTCTCTGTAGCTGTTGCGTGGTTGCTGTCAGAACTGAGAGCATGAACAGTACAAGGCTGATTAAAGTGCCCCCTAATCTTTTGTGTGCATGCATGCAGCTTCTATTTTGTTAAAAGGCTTTAGCCAACATTTACTTTAGCAGTTTCCCGCACATATTTCAGGTGCAAAATTTAATGAAGTAACAAAAGGGACCCAGCAAAGCTATGTCACTTGAGAACGTGACAGTTCTTGACTGTAACTCATTCTCAGGGAGAGACCCTCTGCTTTTGATGAGAGCCTTGTAGTGAGGAAAACTGGGCAAATGTTTGCAGACACTGAACTGCATGAACTTTAAATTAGAACGTGGTTTCAAGTCAGCATGCAAATCTTGGTTATAATTCCTCCTCTACTTCCCTGTTTCTCCTGTTTGAACAGGATTGCCCTGATACCATCTCTTTTTTCTTTCTTCACTGGCTTCTCTTGCCCTCATGTTTCTGGATGCAGTTAAAGGACAGAAAGCAGGGAAAAAACCCCAAGAACATTCACAATTGTGAGAAGTAAGAAGGGCCAGAGGTAAAACAACGTCACATTTGTGTCCAGTTCCTGGAAAGCCTTGGTGCCCAGGTCTGTGCCTTGAACCATTATTATAGATACGTGTGCAACGGGGAGCGTAAAGCACCGCCTTGTAGTGGTGCAAGTGACTGCAAATGTTGCAGGGCAAAGTAAACCAGCACACACATACGCGCACACACACACACCCAGTTAAAGCTTCCTGAGCAGGAAGTCTGAGGCTAAATAGACCTGATGATATTTAGCAGTGGTGAGAAAGGTCATTTTATTGTGCGCTATAAAAACATGAAATTCCGTGCCTTAGTGTTTGCCTCTGGTAATTATGCTGTTCTGTTAATAATTCACTAGATGCATTATCTAGTTCCCATTTTAGAGCACAGGAGTTAGGGTGTTACCACTAGTTCCTGCTTCCAACAGTGGCTTTCAGCTTACAATTTGGTACATGGTTTTTTTATTTTTTATCAGAAATTGGTTTCTGACGTGGTCACTTGCAAATCTCAGGGGAATTGGATTAGCTCATTTTAAGAAGAACCTTTTTCTTCCCCCCCCCCCCCCAAAAAAAAACTGTGACAGGGAAAGCCTATAACAATGACTGGCCATCTTGACAGAGATGAACAGTCGGAAACAGATACTAGTTCACGCAGAGGGAACGGTTGCTAGGTGTGACGGTTAGTAGCTATGAACTTAATGAGACATGAGTAGCGCTGTGGAGGAGGCGAGCTCACTGGAAGAAGTGAGTAGGAAAAAAGCGGAGTAATGCCAAGTTTCCAAAGTTTCATGCGACTGTTTCAATTAACCATTTCTCCTGCAGAAAGAAACCACAGTCCTGCAGTAGCACGGTGCCATTTCCCTTTCTTTTAAGAGATTTTTGCTTCTGGTACTTTTTTTTCCTTTTTGGCCCTTTGCATCTGCACAAAGGAGCAGAACCGGCATGCGATAGAAAGGGAGTGGGCACTGGATCCGGCTTGCTTAGGCCACCCACTTGAACCAGAGCATCTTTCTCTTGCCTTGGCCCCTGTGCTGACTGCGGCTGGCAGCGACACCCAGGCGAAGCACTGTGTTCTGGGGTACTTCAGGGGCAGGAGGGTGCTGGGGCTGGTACAGACTAGCCCTCAGAAGCAGGAGCCGAAACGGGCTCCCCAGTGCAACCGCTCCTTTCCGTGCCCAGAAACAATCAGGTCCAGGGAAGAATTTGTCTCTTGCTCTGCAAGAATTGAGCTTGGGCTATTCAATTCATTTTGCACAGGCAGGTTCAAATGGAGACTGCTCTCAGTCGCTGTTAACCAGGGAGCAGGGGGCTTTCAGCTATACTCTACTTCCTCGGCACCTCCGGCTTATTTGGATGTTAATGTAAAACTGCTCATGCTGACCAGATGAGGTCCTTCTGAGGCTAGTGGAAAGATCAGGGTGTGATTTAGAGTTGGTTGTGGTGGCATGTGTTTTATTTTCTTAATAAATAGTTGAGTGCCAGTCCTTGCTTCATTTGAACATAACTTGAACAGCCTCCTGAAGATCCCTTACAAAACCTGGCAGCAGAATCTGCTGTCCGGGCCAAGCGTAACTGAGGTCCGCAGTATGAAACCTCAGCTCACTTCAGAGCTGTATGGCTTGGACTTGTAGGCAGCATTTGATACTGACCCAGCCTTTTCTTTGGCACTTTTCTGGATTAGTGGGCAATAATTTTCTGCTAGGTGAGATGCAAATTATTCTTACCACCTAAAGCACTGAAATGGCCGTATGTCAGGCAGCTAATTCTGCTCATGTATATGAATCATCGGGGACATTGCTGACACAAATTTATCATTTGAAAAGCACTATCCACTGGTGATAGCTACAGTGATGTTTTCAACCTAAAGAGATGCATGAAAAAATCACCAGTTCCCAAACACAGTATTCTTTGAGTAGGCAAATATGTCCTTAGCCCGAACAAAAAGCATTTCTATACCTAACTCCCCCTGATTTAAGGAGGAATGAGACACCTACATACCTTGAAGGTCTGGCTGTTATGGCTTATAGTTGCAAAGAAGGTGATAATACGCAAAGCCTATCTCCCAGTTCAGCGTGTACTTCTTGTGAGGCTGACAAGATTGCAAGTCAGGAGATGTGACCCAGACACAAGGAATGAAAAAAACCCTTTTTACATGGCTGCTTTTGTGGCCATAATAAATGCATCCAAGTAACTGGTACCAGGCATAAGGCTGGAGGAGGGTTTCCTGCTGGTTGTGATATTTCCCCCAAAGAAGCAGCTTCTGGGTATATTTTTTTTTTTATTTAAAAAAAAAGAAAAAAGACAGGCAGACCTGAGGATGCGTAATTTTTAAGACTGTTGCATTTCAGAGTCACTTGTCATTCAGACCAAGACCGAGACCTATCACTTCCCCTTTTGTTCTCGCTCCCCTGGAAAGTCCTTCTAACATTGCGCTGTGATTTGCCATGACTTTGTGCTCTGCAATACTAAGATGGAAATTCATGCTCTGGAACCTGAGGTGCAACTGAGAAGCCAACCCCTGCAGTGGGAAAGGTGAGGTCTGCTTCTCAGTGTGAGTTATGGCCACGCAGATCATTCAGTGTGGGGCACAGTGAGGCAGGGCTCCTTGTGCATGCTTTTCTCCCGTGGTAAGCAGAAGCAAAATGAAGCTGCCTTGCCCTCAGTGAAGGAAGGGGTAAACCAGCATAGTTTTGCTTCCACTTACTGCAGGGCGAAGAGCATTCACACAGGAAGTTACTGTGGAGCACAGATAGCTCCACCCCACTTTTACTTGGTGAACAACTGTTGCTGCGTCCGTGTGCTCACTTTAATCCTGACTATGCAGCAGCGAGACATGACAGCTTAGCTCAGATCAACTGAATGTGGAATCTGTACTACAGCAATAGAAGGAAAAGGATGGATGGGTACAGACAGGTCTGCTGCACAGAGCTGGACCTGGCTTCTGCCAATCCAGGGGAGCTAGTTATTATTTATCCTTCCCCATTTTTATTGTGGCAGCTTTGCACAGTGGGCACGGCCCCAAAGAACAGTTGACAGAACATGCTGAGGGAAGAGGATGATGAAGCCTTACACAGAAGTTGCGTGCAGCAGTGTGCGAAGACACAACTCCAGCCGAAGCTGAATTCAGATTTCAGAGTTTG